TCGTGGGACATGTATTATATAGAGGTGGAGAGATCTGATGAAAAACCTGGATAGTAACTGTGCTGAGCTAGCTCCCGTGTCGTCCACCCTCGCCAGGGCTTGGCTGAACCCCCGGGCCCAGGTTTTCTCTAGGTGTGTGTGTCTTCCTTTCCTTCATCCCTCACCCCCCTCAGGTTTCCGCATGGACAGCTGTTCGGGTTCCCCAGTTGGCACCAGACAGGGACGGGAACCCTAGACCCTCAGGTATAGATATAGATGTATCGTCACATTATGGAACACATGAATCGCATATATGCCATCCCCCCTCCCCCCAGTCCCTGGCCACCACTCAGCTGCTGTCTCTCCTGGTGGCCGCATCTTTTTCAGAGTGTCCTAGAAGTGGAATCGTCCCATCTGTAGAATCTGGAGTCTCATTCGTCTCGTGTGATGCATTTGAAATTCACTCATGCTCCTGGGAGGATCCTTGGTTCTTTGCTTTTTATTGCTGAATCATACTACATTGAAGGAAGTTCTTTATCCGTTCAGCAGTTGGAGGGTAGGATTTGCAGCAATTATGACTAAAGCTGCCTTGCCTGATTGCATACAGGTTACGTGGAACACAAATCCTCACGGTCTTAGATAAAATCCCAGGAGCAGAGTTGCTGAGTCATATGGTAAGTGCATATTTCACTTTCCACTTGTCGCCAAGTGGCTGTGCCAGTTACCACCCACCAGCTGTGTGTGAGGGCTCCGGTGGTTTTCCATCCCCATCAACTTCAATATGGCCAGCCTTTTCCCCAGCCATTCTGATAGGCTTTTTTGTTGTTTGTTTTGTTTTTGGTGGTACTTGGGGTTAGATCCAGGGTTGCTTTACCACTGAGCTGCATCCCCAGCGCGCTCGCGCTCTCTCTCTCTCTCTCTCTCTCTCTCTCTCTCTCTCTCTCTCTTGTTTCTTTTGCTTTCTTTTTGAAACAGGGTCTTGCTAAATTGCTGAGGCCAGCCTCCAACTTGTAGTCCTCCTGCTTCAGCCTCCTGAGCTGCTGGATTACAGGCATGCACCATCCCACTAGTTGATGCGGAATCTCTTTTCATGTGCTTATCAGTACATCTTCTTTGCTGAGGTGTAGGTTTCGAATCTTTTGCCCATTTTTAATTGAACTGTAGGTTTTACTATTATTCAGACTTGAGAATTCTTCATATAATCTGGATATAAATCCTTTATCAGATACGACTTTTAAAAATATTGACTTCCACTCTGGCTTATCTTTTCACTTTCTTAACAAATTGCTTTTTAAGTACAGACATTTTTAATTTTGGTTAATGATATGACTTGGATGTGGTTGAAGTGTGACCCTCAAAATTTCTTGTGCGGGACGATTGGTCCCCAGTGTGGTGGCATTTGTAGGTGGGGGAAACTTCAAGAGGTGGGGGCTAGTGGAGGAGGTGAGGTCATTGGGGTTCTTGCTGCTCTGGGAAGAAATTAATGTAGTTTTAGGGGGAACTTAGTTTCTGCAAGCGCAGGTTGTTATAGAAAGAGCCAACCTGGCTCCTGAATCCCCCTGGCTTCCTGTCTCACCATGGGGTCTCTTCCCCATAGCCTCTCACCATTGTGATGCTGTCCACCATGAAGCCCCTCCAGAGAACAAGTCCATGGGCCACCTGATCATATACTTCCAGCCTACAAAACTGTGAGCAAAAGAAACCTCTCTTCAAAATATATATTACCCAGCCCCAGTCATTTTGTCAGAGCATCTGAAAACAGACTAATACAATAAAGAAAAATATATCAATGTTTCAATTTTAATTATGTTTTTGGTCATATCTAAAAAATATTTGCCTAATCCAAAAGAAAAAAAAAAAGACTTATGAGCTGATATGGTGGCGCACACCTGTAGTTCAATTACTTGAGCCCATAGTGCAAGACTAGCCTGAGCGAGATAATGAGATAGCATCTCAAAAAAAATTTAAGATGTATTTTATGCTTTCTTATAGAAATTTTATACCCTGAAGTTTTACACTTATGTCTACAATCAGTCTGAATTTTATACATGCTACAGTTTGGACATAGAATGTCTTCCCAAGGCCCGTGTGTTAAAGGCTTGGCCCACAGGGTGGCACCATGGAGAGATGGTAGAACCTTCAGGAAGCGGAGCCTGGTGAAGGCTCTTAGGTCCCTGGGGCCTGTCCTTGACAGGGGTTGTAGGACCCCATCTCTTCCTCTTTCTTGTTTCCTGGCCCTCAGGAGGTGAGTGGGTTTGCTCTGCCATGTGTACTCCTACCATGATGTGCTGCCTCACCACAGGCCCAACGCAATGGGATCAACCAATCATGGACCAGAACCTCCAGAACTGTGAGCCAAAACTCTTCTCTTTATCACCTGATTATCTCAGTTATTTTGTTATAGTGATGGAAAGCTGACTCCTGTAATATATGATACAAACTATGGGTTGAGGATTTTGTTTTGTTTTGTTTCTTGCATACAATTGTTCTAGCATGATTTGTTGAAAAGACTGTCCTTTCTTCAGTAATTTCCTTTGCAGCTTTATGCAAAATCAGTTGACCAAATATATGTGGGTCTACTTCTGGACTCTATTCTATTGTATTGATCTATGTGTCTGTCTGTTCAACACCACATTTTATCTAATTTTGTAGCTTTATAAAGCCTTAAAATCAGGTATGAGTGTCCTCTAATCTTATTCTTTTTAAAACTTGTTCTGGTTATTCTAATTATTTTCTTTTTTCCTTATAAAATCTGGAATCCTTTTAGAATACTGATTGGGATTATATTTAATCCCTAGTACAATTTAGGGAATATCAACATCTTAATAATACTGGTACATCTCTTCATTTATTTAGGTCTTCTGTATTTTCCCTTAGCAATATTTTATACTTTTGTAGAAGACAGATCTTGTGTTATTTTGTGAAACTTATCTTTGTGTATTTCTGGTTTTGATACCATGATAAATGGTACATTTTAAATTTCATTTTTCATTTTTATTGCTAGTATGTACCAGAGTAATTGATTTTTAAATATTGACTGCATTGCTTGCCCTTTGATGTCAGACTTTTTAATTCTAATAACTTTTAAAAGATTATTTAAAATTTGTGACTGTTTTTAAATTTTCATTGGATAATTTTGGTTGCCAGCTGTTTAGTCAGCTTTTTTTGCTGCTGTGACTAAAAGGATCCTACCAGAACAATTTTAGGGGAGGAAAAGTTTATTCTGGTGCTCACAGTTTCAGAGGCCTTAGTCCACAGAAGGCCGGCTCCATTCCTCAGGGCCCGAGGTGAGGAAGAACATCGGAGGG